TCTAACTTGGGGCATATGCCTTGTAGACTATAATCTTTGGGGCATCAAGGATCAGGCTTAAAAAGGTGGGACTTATGAACCTACCATTATTTGCATGGCATGCCGCTTAAAAGCATGTGGGCAACATATCATGTTTGAATTTGAAATAGAATTTGCGAAGTTTCGTAGCGAGGGTATAATTCTCAAATCGTGGCATACCTTGAGTTTATCTAGTTTCTAGTGTCCACAATGTTGCTTTGAAAAAATTTTAGTCTTAGATTCAGACATTGAAATGTTTATTAGCGTTTGATTATTAATTATTTAGCAGGCTTGTTTGTATGCACACATGTTAACCTCTGTACAATACCCAAAAGAAACGAAAATGAAATCATACCTTAACCGTTGGATCCATAATTTCCGCTGAAGTGCCTCGATTTATAGGTAGAGAAAAATTACCTATGGGATCTGCTTGAGTAAAATGTAAACTACATGCAAATAAGTTATTAAGAGTAAAAGTTCAAAATAAACCTCAGACTATTGATAAATGTTCAATTTAGTCCCAGATGTTCTCATTGACCCATTTTTGTCCCTCGACTATTAGAAAGTGAGTCAATTTAGTCCCTAAGCCTAAAATAAGAGTTAAAGTTAACTTGAAAGTTAAATATAAAAGGTATTTTAGATATTACAAATGAATATGATATTATATTGCTTACATTATTATATTTTATTATTAAATAAATTATAGTATATAGTTTATCAGTACATAACGAGGATGAATAAATAGGGAATATATATATATATATATATATATTCCCTATTTATTCATCCTCGTTATGTACTAATAAACTATATACTATAATTTATTTAATAATAAAATATAATAATGTAAGCAATATAATATCATATTCATTTGTAATATCTAAAATACCTTTTATATTTAACTTTCAAGTTAACTTTAACTCTTATTTTAGGCTTAGGGACTAAATTGACTCACTTTCTAATAGTCGAGGGACAAAAATGGGTCAATGAGAACATCTGGGACTAAATTGAACATTTATCAATAGTCTGAGGTTTATTTTGAACTTTTACTCTTAATAACTTATTTGCATGTAGTTTACATTTTACTCAAGCAGATCCCATAGGTAATTTTTCTCTACCTATAAATCGAGGCACTTCTTCATTCAGTTTCACATTCACTTTTACCTCATAGAGTTCAGAAGATTTTAGAAGCAGTGAAGCTCGATTTGCACTCATTGGTGCGCCATAATTTCTCTGTTAAATCTTGTTTGAGTTAAGTTTTATTCTTGCAAGGTGACAAGTATTACACATTTAATCTTCATTTGTTCATTTTAATCTTTCAATTTTATTTTTGCTACATTCAATGGTCTAGAAAGTCTTCTTGTTTTTTTTTTTTCACGTTTAAGTTTGTTTAGTCCAAAGTTTGTTAGCGCTTCCTTGCCACCCCTCCATTAGGAGATATCATAGAATGTGCTAGGCTTCTCATCACGTCAAGAAAGATTTATATAGCTGTTGTATGAGGAACCATAATGTGGTCTATTATCATCATGCCAGGAAAGGAGCATGTGGATCTTCACTTGCACTAAATATGCACAATATATAATTTTCGTGATACGCTAAAAAATATGAGATGAGTATGCTCAGGCAAATTAATGGAATTAATAAATATTATGATTCATAAGAAGATAAAATTCTATGCATTCAGGAAACTAAATGACTTTGAGAGAAGGTTAAAGAGATTGATAGTTTATGATTTAAACTATGATATTCAAGTAAGTGTCATACTAGAAATGTTGTAGGTGTTATTATAGATAAGAGTTTGAAGAATAATGTTGTAAAAATTAATAAAATTGGAGATATATTATAGCTTTAAATATGATGGTTGATCATAAGATTATTAATATCATAAGTCCAATGCTTCACGAATAGGTTTAGATATGTGTCTGACCTTTTTGTAATGAAAACAACAAGAACGGAGAGAAAACACATTAGAAATCGGTGAGAAAAATTGTTATTTCAGCACAACAAACCAAGATACAAGTTGATCTATTATCAAGAGGTAGATTGGCTCTCCACAAACCCTAGGTGCTGCTAGGAATAACTCCAAAAGAAACTACAACAAACACAAATAATCTCATAATCAATATTAAATAACCTAATTAACCCTATATAAGCCTCCCTAATTCCCTCTTAAATCTCAATTCAAAACAGTCGCCTTTCCTTAGATAAATCTTTCCTAATCCCCCCTCCCAAATCTTTATTCAAATCTGCCTCCTTTCCTTAAATAAATCTTTCCTACTTCCCTCCCAAATTTGAATTAAAATTAGCCCCCCCTTTTCCAAAATAAACTTTCCTAATTCTCTATCAATTTTGGTTTCTTATGATAAGTAATTAGAGATGGATTTTTTCCCCTTTGGATCCCCCTCTTTCCTTGCTCATTGTCCTTGTTAGTGGGGTCCGCAAGCTCCTTCGGTCCATCAATACTCCCCTCCCAAATAACCACATTATCCTCAATGTGGAATGAAAGAAATTGTTGTTGAATCATGCGGTACGGTTCCCATGTTGTTTTATTGTCAATCAAATCCTTTCACTCAATCAACACTTCTGTAGCTCTTCCTGCTGTCGAACGGACTCCTTTCGCTTACCTTAGCTCCAAGATTACCTCCATTTCTTTTGTCAAGGTCATTGGCAGCATCATTGATGGACTGTGGTTTCCAATAACTTTCCTCAGTTGAGACATGGAACACTATATGTATGGTGGCAGTAGGGGGTAGCTGCAAACGATTTGTCATGATGGCATCAATCCTCTTCATCACATCATAAGGCCCATAATTCTGTGGAAATAATTTTGCATTTCTTCTTCGAATTAAGGTCTGTCTGTATGTTCGAATCTTCGAATACACTTTATCACCCGCCTTGAACTGCATGTTGAAAGACTTGAACCTCTCCTTTATAGTTACCTTCGAAACTCCACTACTGTTGCCCCCATCACTTCCCATAGGAACAACATCGCCAGAAGAACTTTGGCTTTGAAGAGACTGCAGAATTTTTGCCCAAGCTACCTGTTTGTATTAATTTGTATTTTGCTGCACAATTCTTGTGTGTCTCTGAACCCAATTATTGCCCAATAAATCCTTTGACTCTGATCTTCGAACGGTTTTAACGATGTAGTGGATGTTATTCATAATGAATAGATAAGTCAACATAGGATCCTTATATTGCTTATATTTTCTATCCAAATTACTTTGAAGAGCTTGCATAATTCTCATTGTAACAGTTGCATGTTGGGAAGTTGAATCTTCTCCCACCTTTTTCAAACTCCTGAAAATACTGCTTCAAATTTGATTGATAGTCAAATAGAAACTTCACATAGTTAATCAAATAGCTAGTCAGAGGGTGCACAGTTCCATCCATCACACCAATTTTTGTCGCATCTTCTTCCATTGCTTCCTTAAAATCACCAAAAGTTTCTTGAGCAGTCTGGGCTAGCGTCTTGAAAGATTATTAGCAGCATCCCTCATCTCATAACAAGTTTTTCCTCAAACATCATTTCAATCTCATAATGAGGCTCGTGCATTATTTCATACATGTCTAGAAGCACAAACAACTTATTCGTGTGACCCCTTGCTTTTAGTTGTAACATCCTCAAAACTAAAATGCATTGTCTGCTGTTACTTCAACAAAAACTATCCTTAAGAACATTGATACCATTAAAATTTTGATCATTGATTTTTCTTTCTGTAGCAAATAGGAGTTTCACAACAACCCTCATATAGTGAATAGTTTCCAATTTTGGACTCTAGAACCTCCCATGACATCTTTTGTTCATCCTCTTTACTGAGCTTTTCCTTTGCTTCACCATGAATTTCCCTTAGCATGGTTTTAAGAGAAACCATGGGTTTAGATAGATTAGGATCCCCCCGATCCTCATCTTCCTCCCTTCCACCATAAATTTTATAGGCAATGCCTTCCGGTTCATCTTAGTCTCCCCTAGGGTTTGCAACAACTTCATGCCCAAAATTACATATGTGCTCCCTAACTCCAAGGGAAAGAAATCCTTCCCACACTTGGATCTCCTGCAGTGTCACCATCAACCCTAGGCGATGCCTATATTCTTCTCAACCTTCATCGTTCCAATCATTACCCTAAAACAGCCCGTGTTTACTAGCTTCAGCTCCAATTGGTCCACCACTGTTTTGATAAAAAAATATATATTTTTTATAGTTTTGAAAAGTATTTAATTATTTTTGGGATTATTTAATTTTTAAAATTTTAAAATCGAACGCGTCATTATGAGCAATAGATCACCTCGGGAGATAATCGTATCGTTCCCTAATGGGTTCAAATTTTAGAATTTCAAATTTATCCGGATTATCGTAGTCAAAATCAAAGGGAGAATCACATTTGACTCCGGAGGATCAAAATGAAATTTAATCAATTATTTGACTACGCTAATTTGGATAAAATATCGTTAATTTTATAATCAAAATCACGATAGTAATTGATATATCAATCTGAGGAAAGAAATTATCAATCACTA